ATGATCCTCTCCTGCTAGCACCACCCGCCAGCAGCCCCAAACCCTAGAGCTGGGCATACCCAGCCTTTGAGTGAGCCCCACCTTCCTCACTCCTCATTTTCTCCTCCCCTGGGTGCCCAGCTCCTAAGCCAGGTGGGAAGATGGGCTGATCCTTGTTTGACTTCTCATTCCCTCTCTGGCTGCCCCTCTGCCCCATGTACCTTCCCCTGCCATCTACCCAGCAGCCCCCAAGCTTCACACAGGACCCAGGTCAAGGCCCAAAGCCCCTCTCTGCTCACACACCCACTTGTCCCCATGTGGATGCAGCCCTTATCTTAGGGCTCATTGCTTACAGGTGTGGTTGTTCTCTCCACTGGATTGTGAGGCTCTCCAGGTTTATTTGCCCCCATGTCCTTGATTCCTCAGCAGTGTCTGGAGTCTTGTGTGTGCTATAGATGTTTGTTGGAGAGGTGGATGAATAAACAAATGTGTGTGTCAAGTCCCTGCTTCCCTTTCCAATCTGTTCCACCAGCCCCTCTTTTTGGAGACACCTTCTGGGACTGTCCCCCATCCTGCCATTCTCTCTCTGTTGTTGCCCCTCCCAGTCTGAGGCTCAGAGCCAGCTCTTGTCGCTTATCTATAATGGTGCCACTAGGGTCCTGTGTCCTGTCCACCCCAAGTAGCCTGAGGGCAGACAGTAGTCCTCTAGGCCCAACTGGGCTGTGTCTACACAAGCCACCTGTGCCTGCAGCCTTCCCTTGCCCACCTGTGCCCGCTGGCCTTATGTCTACAGGGCTGTAGACTTCCCCATCTCCCCCAGAACTCATCAAGGCCTCTTCAAATCAACAACACTGCATGGTCTGGATTACTGTCTCCTCCATATTATTGACTTTTATTGGTCTCACCCACACAATCTGAGTAAAAGCAGAGCACTCAGCTGTCAAATGCCTTTTTAAAGGCAAATTCTGAGGCAGCCCATTCTGTTCAGTTGGCTCTTCTGAGTCCCTGGTATAGAAAATTTCTTCCCAACTCCCCTTAATCATGTGAAGCGGGGTTCATAGTACCCCTCACCACATCAGAGGATTGTTGTGAGGATTAAGTGAATTAAAATGTGTTGATGTCTAAGACCTCATGGTTGGCATATGATAATGTTTTCATTAAAGTTTGTGGAGCTATGGTTATTCTTGTTGCTATTGCTGTGACTTTGTCCCAGGCAATAACTTGTGTAGGGGTCAAGAGCAGGCTGTCCCAAAGTGTGCCTCTTGGGCATACCGATTATTTTAACTGAAAGTCACGTCAGGGGCACCTGGGTGGCTTAGTCCATTAAGTGGCGACTTCCATTCAGGTCATGATCTCGAGGTTTCTCTAGTTTCTCTAGCAGAGTCCTCTCTGCTGTCAGCAAGGAGCCTTCTTGGGATCCTGTTCCCCTGTTTCTCTGCCCCTCCCCCACTTGCATGCTCACTCGCGCACTCTCTTTCTCTCTCAAAAATAAATAAACATTTAATAAAGTCACTTCAGAGACAGCCTGTGCAAGAAGGACACTCAGACCCTCCTCCGCCCCCCTGAGGGAAGGAATACATCTCCCATGTGAAAGGTACCCTCCCTGTAGCAGGAGCGAAAGAGAGGAGGCTGTATAACAACGCTTGTTACTTTTTACTAATTTACCACCCCGGCCCAAAATCTGTTTAGAATCCCTTACGAATTGAAGCTCCCAGTGTTAAGTTTTCTTGATCCTGTCAATACCTCACAGACTTGTCTATTTGTCTGAAAAGTGTAAAAACTGCCTGCATGGTTATTTCTTTGGTCTTAATTTCATTCCTGGACCTCTGTGCACACTTAATAAAACTTTGGGTTTTTTCCTACTGTTAATCTGTGTCCTGTAAATTTAATTGTTAGTCCAGCAAAGACCTTGAGGGTAGAGAAGAACTTTCTCTTTCCTTCAGTATCTACTAGTCCTATTTGCAGCAGGAAGGATGTGCCTTTGCAGGCACCAGCTGAGGCAGCCCCCAGGAGTCTGGCACTCCCTAGGAGAGCAGGCTGGCCTGAAGCTTGGGGCGCACAGGCCTTGGCAGGTCTGACAGAGTCCATGGTGAAGGAGGGACACCTTTTTCACAGTGTCTGGCTGTCAGGTTGTGAGGGGCTCTAAAGGTCATCTTGACAGTTGTTTTCAACAACTGTAAGCTGGGGGGGGGGGAAAGCCAAATGAAGTTTTATTTGATTCCAGAATAAAATACTACTCTGGCTAATGCCCCACATTTTATTAAAAACTGAACCCAAAAGGGCCAGACGACCTGTTCAAGTTCATTCAGTGAGTTAAAGAAAAGAAGGAGCATGGCACCATTTCCTTCATACTTCTGGTCAAAATCATTTTATGGTCCCTCCTTTCTGACAGGGTAACGTAAAAAACTCAGCATGGCAACCAGGGCTTTCTACAATCTCACTCCAGGTTACCTTTTCCCATAGAATGAGCCCAAGTGGTCAAGGTATGGGCTCACTTCTTGGGCTTGCCCATCTTGGAGCCTTTGCCCATGCTGTCCCTGCCCTGCTCTTGACTACTGCAATTCCACCAGCTTTTAAGACACTTATCCAGGCTAGTTCTTCCAGAAGGCTTCTTGCTTCTTCAGACCAGAAGTCACATTTTCCTCCCCCAAGTGCCCATGAACTTTACCTGGGGCTTGTGGTTGCTCATCACTGCTCACCCCCTTCTCCCTCCCAACCCTGACTCTCCAGGCTGTGCCTCACCTGTCAGGGCTCAGGATCTCCAAGAGCACACTGAGGACACCTTTGTGTCTGAGCAAGAAGGGAAGGGCAGGAGCTACACCCGGGCAGGGCTGAGTGAACACAGGCAGCATTCCCAGTCTGGGAGGGCGGCTGCTTTTCCCTCAGCTGGGCCTGAGATATTTGTCAGACTGGAAAATCCCCATGTCTTCACACTGACTGAAACTACCCACTGTTGCAGCCCATTAGATTTCTCACAGGTTCCTTCCATCTTCATTCCAGGCCATTCATTGCTCCCACCTTCCAGTGCCCCATCCCCATCAGTGAGAGTTGGGGAAAAACATTCTTCACCACCAAAGTTCCCTTACTACTCTTGGAGGCTTCTGTGCCCTTCTCACTGTGGAGGGCACAGCCAGGGGTGGGGGTGGCCACTCCCCTGCCTAGCCCCCACCTGTGCTCCCTGGCTCTTCCTCTGTCTCTTTGGCTTCTTTCTTCCCCACTTTGACTGTGTTTTTCTCTCTCTTTTGTATCTGTCTTCCTCCCACCTGTGCCTGTCTCTTTTTCTTCTTCTCTCATGCTGCCTCCCCTTCTCTCCTCAGTGCTTCTCATTTTCTTTCTTTGTCTGCCCTTCTACTTCTGTGTCCGCCCTGCTTTTGCCCTTTTCTCTTTTGCTTTCTCCAGCATGCAGAATATGGCAGCATGAAAGCAACAGCCAAAAGGGGTCTGAGACTGTAGACCCCTGCCACTTCACCCCACCCTGCCCCAGGGCTGCCAGGTGGCTCTGGGGAATGCACA